AGAGAGAGAGAGAGAGAGAGAGAGAGAGAGAGAGAGAGAGAGAGAGAGAGAGAGAGAGAGCACGCCAATTAATGAGATAGGTTAATTTTTTAGAAGGTATGAAAGAGAAATAGAGAGAGAGTGAGAGTGCCAAGTTTTGCCACCAATCTCACATTGAAGATTTAACAAGGGAAAAGCTTCTATAAAAGCTTTTGGCCCACACTAGTAGTCAACACCTGAAGGCTGCAGGGCAGCTTTTCCAAAAAAGTGGCGTAGTCGAGGAGTATGATGGTGGGCCAAAGCTACAACTTTGTTCAAAAGTATGGTGTGTATGGGGCCCACGTGACAACAATGATGGACCCCTTTTATTATTTAAAAAGCTGTTGGAAATTGTCTGGAAATTGTCAGTGTACCGGTGATGTGTTAGTGACATGTCCAGTTTTTCTGACAAAACCGGTCTCACCTGGCCGGTTCTGGGAGGAGTCGTCCAGATCTTGATCTATTAAGGGATCCAAATTGCTATGAATAGTTCCCAATCCAAATCGGGAGATTCCGATCCAGATCGCTGAATTTTCAGACCTTGATCTTATATTTAGCCTGTAAAGTATTTAAATGACATAGCTTCCAAATTAGTTGCTTTTGTAAAGTTCTGCAGGAGTTCAAAGTGTTTTAAAATGACAACATCTGATCTAGTTCTATGTAATATTTTTATCTTTAGCCTGTAAAGTATCTACATGAGATAACTTTTAAACTTTTTTTTTTTTGTTGATTGACCTTGGTCTACAAATTATAAACTGCTTTCCCACTGTGACCAGGAAAATTTTGCAGGAATTCACAGAAATTGGTAGGTTAATACTAAGGCTCAAGTATTTATGACCATTCAAAATCAGGGGGATTTATGTGGAGTCTGGGCAGAAGGGATGCATATTTCTGTTTATAGTGGCATAATTGTTGTTATGGTGGTCATACAATCGTGGCAAAGTACATTTGACGAACATATAAATTACATATCGATTCTTGTGCATGCTTGCTGACTATAGACTTCCGAAATTATGTTTGGAGCTTAGCTACTGCTTGCGGGAGGATGATGGAGCACCTTAGATATCAGACTGATTTCCTGGGCACAGTTCTTAAAAGTGCTTCTTAAGTAGTCTTCTTGCTTTTTGAACGCCCATTTCGAATTGTCCATATTAGTTGTGGTAAACTATTATACACGTTCTGTCTATAATATGACCTTTCATTCACATACTGATCTTATCAACGGACGGTGGAGACAATTTTATTGTTCTGCCTTTACATCGACCAACAGGGCAACAGCTCCTCTCCTTTGTCTGTTGACGAGAATGACTGGTGATTGCCGATATCTCCTCCCTATACAATAGATGACAAAACCTTTTGATTCATTTTCTTTGATATTGGTGGGAACCTTAATCAGTTCGTTGGCAAGAGTTCCTGTTGGTACTTTGGTTGACGCCATTGCTTAGTCTTGATTCTGCATACAAAGGAGCCTAACCATCCAAGAAGCCAAACTATCCTCACGACTCTTGATAATATGGTTATTTGAAAACCCCTATACAGTGAATCATTGGATAAAAAACAAAGTTGAAACCACTCAAACCAAGTGTTCTGCTCCTAATCAATGAGGGCAGCAGAAGGCCTCTACACATTATATTCTCTCAACCCCTACCACATTATAACCTTTTTTTACCTGTACTTGCAGGCTGGGCCTTGGGTGCCCAATCTCACTGGCTCAAAGAGGAAAGCAGAGGCAACCACATCTGCTCAAAAGAAACCAAAGGCAACAAACCCAGCTCATAACTGGAAATGTGCCCTTTGCCAAGTTAGCTGCACAAGTAAGGACCTACTTAATGAGCATAAGCTTGGAAAGAAGCATAGGGCCAAGCTCGAGGAGCTCCAAATACGAGAAGAAAGCCCCAACTCTGCTCCAAAAGAGGAGGATTCTGATACTAAGCTCCAAGTAGAAGGAAGCCAGAAGAATCCAAAGAAGAAGAGGAGGAAGCAAAAGGCCAAGGCCATTTCTGAGGAGAAAAAATCGGCAAATGGGGGAGATGGGGAAGCCCTTAAAGTTGATGGAGAGAAGCAGGGAATTTCTTCAAAAAAGAAAGATGGACAGAAGCTGGGGAGAGAGAAGTTTGCTGTTTGGTGTGAGAAATGCAACGTTGGATGCACAAGTCAGAGCGTGATGAACCACCACATCAGGGGCAAGAAACACCTTGCTCGGCTCGAAGCCGAGATGAAGAAAGAGAGAGAAAAGAGAGAGAGAGAGAAGAGAGCAGCACTTGCGAAAGAGGCTGCAGCTGTGGGAGAGGCTAAAGTGAAGAATGATGTTGAGGAAGAAAGAGAGAAAAGGGCAGAGGAGAGAAAAGAGGGAGGTAATGAGGAGGTTGGTGAGAAGCCTAAGGTCGAGATTGAGGTGGAGGCAAAGCACGTTGTGGATGAAAAAATCCAAGGATGATTGGGGGGTGAGTCACTTTTGGGGGTCAGTATTTAAGTTTATCAGTGCAATTTTTGAGGTAAAACTGGACCCTTAGCAATGTTTCATGAATTTGTAGTTTTTGTTTGGATCTTGTGCTATATGTGTAAATGTTTCAGGATATAGTTAGTAATGAGTAGGGCAAATAACACCATACCAGCATGTCCATTGTATGGTATGCCGTACACTTGCGGGATATCAACCATCTATTCTCAACAGCGGCTTTGGGGTATTCATAGTTCTCATGGTGGACATTGATCCTGAACTGTGGTTTATCTCTAATGTCCATGTTGAGAGCAAGCAGTGGATATGCCAGTGTACAAATACTTGGTATGTGTAGAGTATATAATAATAATAATGAGGCTATTTTCCACCCAATATATTAGTAACTGTACATCATAATAATAATAATGAGGCTATATTTCCACCCAATTTATTAGTAACTGTACCCATCTATGCAACTCAGGCCCTTCATGAATTGTAAAGTGGAAGGTATGAAATGTATGGACGGCTGCAGATACTGAAATTTGCATGCAAAAACCACCCTTCTAATAATGATAATAATGTAATAAAAATTTTGGCCGTGAAAGTTACCCCTGTAAAAATATTGACAGGTATTGTTATGATTATTATTTAACCTTGGCATTACCGCACTATACCCAAGCAAGGCTTGTGGGAAATTGTGTGGCTCTCTTTCATCTCTTTTCACTGGATTCTACACAAGGTCGTAATTATGTGGAAAAATACCATCTTCTATCAATTTTCCTAAAGAAGTAAATAGAGCACCAGCGTTTGATACTAGACCCAAGCAACTTTACTTAGATTGGTAAGTGTAGCTCTGTCTCAAGGCCGTTCCAAGGAGGTCATCCTTGTAAGAATTGTTCTTGTACTACAAGCACGCTTAACTTATATGTATGTTATTGTGGAGCTTAGAGTCCCCGAGTGCACTATTTACATATTTTAGTGCCCCAAATTTTCTTATTAATATCATTCAAGGGTAGTGATGAATGTTTTATTTCTTTTTTGTTTTTAGAACCCTACTTTTCCTTAGTGAGATGGATGTATTGTTCAGCTTGTGTACTATGATATTATCATATTGAGAAAATATGTTCAAATTAGTATTTGGTGGTGCAGACTGGATATCTGCTGTCCAAACTCATCAACGAACATTGTAGATAAGCTGCTACTTTTCCATCTTAAAATCTGCGATCATCTTTAAATGATGTAGCGGCTGATCTCCACCATCTGTAATGGTCTCTGTACAGTATAGCATATACAGCCATACACGCAGTGTTTACGGTATATGGATCCTAGTTTTGGGGAATATTGCAGTGGTCTACACATGGCTCCGCTATGTGCTTTCTCCCAGTGGGGAAAGTATACTCTCTACACTTGTGTACGGCATTTGTTAGGCATCCATCCCAATCCTTCAATTAGTCAGGTGGAGATCAATCAGTCAGTGATCATTTGTTACCTCCATCGGTCACTACTGTAGCCATTGGCTAAACACCTAGTTAGGGTCATTTGTTGATCCCAAAACTCTCCAATCATTTTTATGCACCGGGGTTAAGGTGATTTTGTCGGCCCCAATCACTACAATCATCTTTATTCATCTCTAAGATCAATCTTTTAATAAAAATGGTTTGCTGCTTGAAAAATGCCCTGAATCAATTCGCGATCCAAGGATGGCTTTGGACTGTCCATTTCTTTGGACGATTAGATCTAGGGGAACTTATTTTTTATTTTTGAAATTGATCACAGTGAATAGAAAATGATTTGAAGAAATTCAGGTTTAAAAAATCGTTCATTTTTTTAACTATTGTGCCTTGGGCCAAATTGGTACTGGGAGCCAGAGAAACTTTCCTTGTGAATCTTTTCCCTCAAATACGGCGTGGGCCATGATCATATTGCGGGTTTTACATATACACATTAACCGATTCCTACCTGTATCCTGGTCCTTCCCAACGGTGGATGGTTGAACTGTACGAGTCGTTTGCTGAAGTTAACGTTGACAAACTCAGGTGGGCTTGTTCATCTCATTTGTGATGGTCGAGATGAAATGTAGCACACTGTTTGTATTCTACATGCATCATGTTGTAATTATCCTTTTCCTTATGCATATAAACTTGTTAGAAATGTTCTTCTTGTTTATTGTTTGGTCAAATTTATTAAATATTTATGGGATAATGAAAAGAAACTGAACTTTTATCTCGTCCATATAAGACCCGTAAGATCTATTGGACAAAAATATACATGGCATGAGTTTGAAAAATTTCCCTTGTAAAGTGACCAAGAATCTTGGATGGTATCCGGAACAAATCAATCAAATTATGAACATTGATGTTCCACTTTTCCTGGGGTGGTGGTGTTGCACACTGCAGAAAAATATGATGCAGTATGAATATTATTTAGTGCTGATAGATGACTGAAATGTGGTGCTTCCCCTTCTCAAAAACCACTTTCGAGGTGGTTGAGGGACTATAAAAATGCACTGAATCAGTCTCTTAAAAAAGAACTAGTTTTTGGTTTGAAACTCCAAAATATGCACGAATTTTATTGTTGCTCCAAAATTAGATACGGGCCGTCCTTTTGAATAAGCGGTGGATCTCGGGGATTTGGAGCTCACTTGGAGCTGCAAATGAGATTTTACTTGAATCAGAATGATTTGGAGGTGATGATTTGTCTAAAATGGGCAAGTGGTGTAGGAATGTTTTTTGGTGCTCCTCAATATTCCTTATTTTATTTATTTATTTGAAGGATTGGGTACATGGTAGGTAGTCTTGCACCAAATTGTACATTCAGACTAGAGGCCAAGTGAAGAATTTCAACCAGTTAGGGCATCCCTGTGACTACATTAAAACATGCGGTAGGACTTCTGAAAAGTATGAGGTCCTGGCTTTTTTTGAGCATTCCCTTACGACGTTCATTTGAGGGAGCTCGACTACAAGAGGCCTTAACCACAACCACATGAAAGAGGTGATTTTGATTTGGGGCACTATTTGGGTTTTTAGTCGTGTTTTTCTAGTTGATCTTCATGTTTTTTTTTTTTTTAATTTGATCGTAGAATGTTATAACTACGGTTTGAGAGTTTTTGGGTCCTACAAATGCTTGGCTTTGACCAGCTCCTCGAAGTGAAATTTTGGATTAGCTAAACCACCATTTTTTTTTTTGTGAGCAGAAGAACACCTTGAACCTTGTAGATATTAGAATGATAATAGTCACCCATGTGGGTTGGGAGCTAGGATATTTGACTTGGAACTTCTTCAAGTGTAATTTCAGTAAGTCCTTTGAATATTTTTGAGAGGTTCCATTGAATAATAGGACGGGTGCAACGAAACTGCCTTGTTATTGATAATAGTTACTTTTATTTTTTTTAATGGGAAGGGGTCAGACTTGTGAGTCAAATATAAAAAAATGAAGAACAAGTCATTGTGACTGGGCTCCATCTTATACTATGCTTCATCACATGAGAAAAAAAAGTGGTCAAATAGCCATTTATGACTTAATTGCAATAAAGTGTTATTGTTTGTAAAATCCGCACATAACAATAAAAAAATCAAGGGCATCTCCACCGTCCATTATCATTTTGCAAATATTATATTCATTAAGTAGGGTTGCCTCGAACATGCTTAAGTTTGCCAAAGATCCCTTTTGCAAATGACTGACAGCAGCTTGATCCAGATTAGGAATTGTTCCCTTCGTAGTTCTTTGTCTGCGAGGAAAATAGGTAATCCAGATCGGATGAATCACCTGGTTCCGACCCACTATATATTTTTTGTTTTTATTTTTTTTTATAGTTGTTTTTCAATTTTTTTAGTTTTTGGAATTGATTCTGATACTGTAGAATTGGTCTATTTCTTGATCTGGTTTTGTGGATGTTGACCGGAAGGCCGGTTCACCTGGCCGGGTCCAGTTTTTGGAACACTATTGAGGCATAATAACATGCCTTAGTAGGTGGATCATTATCGTTCATCACTATACAATCAACATTAATAGGACCAGTTGCCTGTGCAATGGAGGTTCTACTAATTGAATGATAAATAAATTTAATATTTTAAATGATATGGACTAATTTTAAAATAATAAAATTATTAATATAATAGATAAATTTGTATTTTAGTGATTTGGGTTCATATGAATGTCCTAAAACTCTCACTAGAAAATATAATATCAAGCGATTTAAGATGATATAAAAAACTTACTAAATCTCTGTTATTCGGATTCAACTTTGTGAGGATAAATTATTTCATGTTTCTATTTTAAGGTTATAAAGTTTTAAACCTTAAAAATCCGTAATAGAAAAAAATTCAAATAAGCAAGAAAGGGACATTTGTTACTTCTAAAAGTAATTATTCAAAAAATTATTAATTTTACTTATATGTATTGAAACCTATTAGGCCTATGAAGATGTACACACCTTTCACATCGCGAATTATGTTGGAATATTTAAATAATAAATATTTATAACAAGAAGGCCAAAAAAAAATTAAGATTGTCTATCCCATAGACGTATGGAAGCCTAATACTGAGGAGTCCATAATGGAGGGAATAGTTGTGTAGCCCAAGTCACCATTCCTATATATTAAAGAGATCTCATTAGGCCTCTATGCAAATTTTTAAGCAATAAAACTTTGTAACTAAAAAATCAAAAATTCAAGAAGTACCTAATTTATTATTGTTTTAAGGCAAGATTTTTTTTCTGCAAAAAATTGCCTTTACCCAATACATGTATGAAAATCTCTTTTATCGTAATACTATAAGGAAACTTTTTTACGCCATATCTCATACCCTTGATTAGTATTCGCATGTAACACTAACTCTATTTGTATCAAGACTATGTACACAGCAAAAACAAGTTTATACTACCTTCTTTTCCAATGGTTATGATCAAATTAATTCAAATCGGAGGCTATGATTGGACGGTGATGATTATGACAAACTGACAACACAAGAAATTTAGTATGTAGTACTGATTACTAGAAGTTTCTTTGCAAAATTTCAATTCATTAGAGAACCATCAAATCTATTTATTTCCTCTTGAACATGAAATCTAGTGTGCTTTACTAATTATCAATACTAAAAGCATATAATCTTATAAGTATTATTTTTGGGCTTTCTCTCAAAAAATAAAAA